GTCCTTAATTTTCTTTCTTCCATTGATGCTGTGCCATGCTTCAGCTAGATCATCATCCTTCTTCCGCATCCCTTGGAGTTGTTCTCGACCACCTTCTCCATCACCTAAACCCGTTCCGTCCTGCCAAGTTGTTGTCTTGCTTCTGTTCATTAGGTGGTTCTGGTGAGCAGAATCCATCATTTGCAAGTGTAAGCAAAGATTTAGTTAAAGCAAAGGGTAGCTTAGCCATTTCCACGTAACTATTTTTTGCTTGTGATAAGATTTTGATTACAAGAGCTTGATACTGAATCAACATTGGCATCGTAAAAGCGACGAGAGCTGAAATCAATTTCGATGACTGGGAATTTTGCTCAATTTTGAGAATATGGTCCATTGAGTTTTCCAATCTGCGGATAATTTGCTTCAAATGTAACTGCTTGATAGATCTCGAGAGTCTCTGTTGCGATAGTGCTAGCCATTCATCAGTTTCATCAGTGATGTCATCTTTCACAAGTTCTAAAACGTTTTGAACGGAGACAAGAATTGAGTTTGATGCTTCTCTCATGCATTTTTCCACGTCTTCAACTAAGCTTAACTTCTCGACAGTGGTAGAGGAATTTATGAATGGGCAGTATTCCCATTGCGATATCCAAGTTAGGACAACATCAGCAATGAAAGCCAACTGTGGATTTTTTGCTTTCCATAATCTCAAATCACCCGAAAACTTCTCCAAGAACATTTTAAACTCATTCACCAACTCCACTTCAGAGTTCGTAAAGACTAAATGATGTATTTCTGGTAGCTCTACCAACATTCTTTCACAGAAGGTCTTTGCTGAAGAAAAGACCTCGGTCTCGACCGGTTTGTAAAGTGAACTGACACTAGTTGCGACTTCAACAGAGTAATCTAACAACTTTACCATGTAGTAGGCCATTTGCTTCATTTGCTCCAAATTGAACTGGATGGAGGGGACCACAGATGCTCTTTGGAAGTCTTGCTTCTCATTTTCAGCGACAGCTTTAAAACCTTTACAGATTTTGCCAAGCTCTTCAACTGAAACTGCCAATGACGATAGTGGTTTTCTGGTCGTAAGTAAGTTGAACATCATATTTTCAGAAGCAGCAAGCCCTCTCTCGAGATCCGGTTGTGGAATATCCGGATGACCGCTGGAAATAGAGCTGCGCAACTTTGGCAAGATATCAAGGATTCTGTAATAGTGAGGGTCGATACCTTCCAATGGTGTCTTTGCAAAAGTTTCACCATTGACAAGAATCAAATTCACAGTGGCAAGAACCTTTTTTGGATATCTGCTTTTCACTGATGTCTTGATACCAATTTCGTCTCAATTTCTTTCAATGTATCGCTCAAAAGTTTTGTGTTTTTGTGTTTTCAAAAGCTGCCACAGTTTTCTTGGGTTTGATCATTCAAAACTTTTGGGGTGTCTTCCCGGAGTTTCTTCATTTCTTCCACCACTTCCTTTGCATATTCGTAAATAGACGGAACTTCAGCATGTGCAATCTTTTCGATGTAGATTTTCATGTTATTTTCAATGGTTTCAATGTTCTTCAACCTGTTGGGTCTTTCGTTCCAGGTCAGAATCTGAGAGCACGCTTTCAAAATAACCATCTTTTCAGCCTTTGTCCTATCCAAAAATTGAACAGCTCTTGCTTCCTTAGAGGAAATTATTGCTTTCGTAACTTCTGAAACACCTGACTCGATTAGGGGCATCACGGGAGTACTCAACAAAGTCCGGTACTTCCTCACAACCTTGAAGAGGTTATTATGGGAGCGGCGAGAACTCTGTTTCAAAGCATCAATGTTGACATCCTTCCAACTGGCAAGGAGAATAACTTCATTCACATCCTTTTCCAAAGTCTTCTTCGTTTCGTTCATTGATTCTTCAATACGAAGAATGAATTGCTCATAGAAGGCAACGAAGTTGCAGCCCCCATTCGAGATTCCGCCGTTGTCTAAGCGAAGAGACGTGACATGATTCGCAAAAGCCTTCACCAATTTCAATCTAAGACCAAATTCACCATAAGTAGTGTCGCTAATAAAGATGTTCAATGCACTCAAAACTTGCACAACTGATGGCTTTTCCTCAGATTCATTTTCCAGACTAAATGGAATGATAATACTTTCGAACAAGTGGAACCACCATTTTCCCAAATTCTTTTCGCATTTCATATCTTCGAAATGAAATAATGCCTTCCAAGAAGAGAGCTCCAACTTTCTCCATGAGACGATGAGCTTGATCAATTCATCATAGTGGTATTTCAAAGTAACTTGACTGGACGCAAACTTCTGCCACTCATTCAAGTAATTGAAGACAACCTCAACTTTATGAAGCAATTGTGCTAAAGGCAGGTTCGAAGGACAATTCAAAAATTCGTTAGTTGTTCTTGAAATATTTTGTAAAGTCGAGTGCTCAGGCCATTGAGCAAGCAATCCAGCGACTGCATTATTAATTGAAAGCATGATCGACATAGCTATGCTGTACTCTGCCGGGTTTTCGTCGTAGTAAAAGTTGATTTCTGTAACTCCCCTTTCGGAAAACTTGCTGTGTGCCCTGTCCATGTTCAAGAGCAAAGCGGAAACATAAGATGGGTTAATCGTATCATATGCAAAATCAAAACTTTGCATCGAGGAGCATATCTTGGCGCCATCAATGACTGTGTCTTTAAGTGTGAATGATTCACCTTCCAAAAAGTGCTTCATGTACAGAGAGACGATTTGAACGTAAACGTCCTCAAAATCTTCAGATACTTTGATTTTGTCTGTTTCAAGGCCCATGACTTCATCATAATCAGGGAAAAGCTCTTTGAAATCCTTCTCTGCATCATCGGTATCTGTATGTTTGTAAAGAGAACCTTCTTGAGCAGCTTTCTCCTCCTCCTTCATTCTGCGGTAATACCATCTATAGTAGATGGACTGGAAAGCCTTATTGAGCACAGGATCCAACGAAGCATCCTCAACCGAGCGTTTTTGTGAGAAACACAAATTGACAAAGTAAAGCATCAATTTTTCGCTCAAAGTGGAACCAGCATCAAAAGTTTTGCTAATTTGTTGAACAATATTGAACGTAGACTCCACGGAGTCTGGGCGTAAAAGATCAACTATATTCAAGGGCCAGGTGGATGAAACATCGAAAGATGCATTTTTGCTTCTTGATTCAATGGACATCAACTCCACCCCAAACCGAAGACCATATATGTAACCATTCAAAATGTCATTCAAATCCGCGTAAAGAAAGAATTTTGAGCCTAGACGCAACATAAAGTTGGAAGAGTTATTTTGGAAAATTCCCACAATCTGGCTGTTCCTTTCTTCTACACTCTTCTCTGCGGCTTGCAACAATTGCTTCACTGGCTCAACGTCAATAGAAGATTTCATGAAAGCGTTCCACTCTTCGAACAAACCATCCAAACTTTCATCTTTTCTAAAAACACGAGGTTTCTCCATACTCTCCTGACTGAGGTTAGGAATATATCTTTCAGGAGCAATTGTTTGATCTCCACTGATTGTTGTCCGCACTGATTTCCAGGATTGAATTAAATCGTTTGACATCTTCTTTTGCATCTCGAGAAGATCATACGCAACGTATTCTTCAATTGCAGGATCTAAAGGTGAGTTCGGAACGAAAAGCTGGATCAAGCCAGCGGAAAAGAGAACCCATGCTTTTCCAAGTTGTGTTGAATCAGGCGAATTAGCGATGATAAATAATGCAGGCATAATGTAGTCTTGGAACACTGCATTCACTTCACTTTCAGTTTGGTTGCTAATTAGTTCTGATAGACGTGCGATGTTCTCCTCAGAGAGGGAAAAGTTTTCAATTCCTGACACACCATGCGCCAGCACGACCTCCAACGTCCAACGTATCAAAATCTTTTCGAACTTCTGTTTCTGGTCTTCAAGAAGAGAGAGCGAATTCTCAACTAATTCAGAACTAAGAGTTTTCAAATCATTCAAGTTTTGATCGAGATGTCTTCCTGGAAAGGTCTCAAATTTCACACTCTTGTCTAAAGCTTTAGTGATCAAGTCGTTTGTGAAAAGGCCACTAACTAAAGAAGATAATCCTTCTCCATGTTTCGATGTCCAAAGACTGTCGAAAATTCTTGGGTAAGGTGCAAAGATATCCTTCTTCGAACCATGAATGAGTGCAAGAGTAGATTTACCCGAATAATTTGCCAAAAACAATTGCTTGTCGAAAGTAGACTCACTAAAGTAACCACTAACTTCCACAAAGTTAGACAACAATGTAAACTCGTCTCCGAATTGGTTACAGCGCGTAATGTTAAATGTTTGAGCAAGTTCAGCAAGCCTCTTGATAGCTGAGTTAAGATTCTCGAACAAATCGCTCAATACTTCTCTGTTGGAATCATTGTTGATAATCGATTCATAAATATCAATAATCATGATGCGAAGCGTTGAAATCTCTGAGTTGGTTTCTGGGTATAATTTGGTCGAAAGTAAATCGAAGTCATTAAGCAACGCTAACAAGCTCGCATAATTCTCCCATGCAGATTCTGAGCTTGGATACACTTGTCTAAATCTCTCCCAGATTTTGGTCATTGAAAAGCCCGAAGTCAATTGCAACCCAATATTCAAGGCAGAGATATCGTGTGCAAACTTCAGGATCAAACTCTCTTCCTGGTGACTCTCAACCCAATGTGTCACCATGGAGTGGTAAACCCTCAACTTAGAGATGTTTTGCTGTTTTGAGGCTTCAACCAATGCTTTCCAGATGATTTGGAGGTCTAAAAGCCAAGAGTAAAGAGGGCTTTCAATGTTGCAAAAGTCATTCAAGCTTGCATTGAAAACTTGAGAAATGAAAATACTCAAACTTTTCACGTACCCATAAATGTCAATTTTTGGAACCTTCTTGATATTTCTTCCAAGGTTGTGAGCAGCAGACATCTCCAAAAAGGAAAGGTCACTAACCTTTCCTTGCATAGCCTTTGTGTTCAACTTTGCAAGATAAATCTTAGACATGACTAATCCTGATGCAACCTGAAGAGCCATGGTTGGTTCTCCAGATTCGATATGTGAAGCATTCCGAGATATGTAACCCGTAATGTAGTTGTTGATCAAAGGATGCAAACTTTGGTTTCTCGCAAAAGATGATGGTGTAATTTTTGATTCGTCAGTTGTTGAGTATAACTTCTCCATTTGCGAGACGAATCCGCTTTCACTCAAGTGGGATACAAGATCCAAAAGTTGCTGAAGCAAATCTTTCTCAGTACTAGAAAACTCGTCTATTTCAAGCGCGACTGACATCCAAGCGTCGAAAGTCCTAACTTGAGATAAAGTCAACACGCCACTCAAAGCACTAACAATGATGTCTTCGTTTGCTTCAATAATAACATCATGAAGCAACACAAGGCTTCTCATGGAAGAGTCGGTGCACGAGACAAAGGCTGTCAAAGGGAGTACAGCCGAGGATTCTTCGCTAACTTGTAAATGTTCTAACTGCTCTGCAATGTCTGTCTTCGATTTTTCTTCTTCATACTTTTCAGTTTCAATCCCCAAGCATTTCTTATCGAAAGAAGTACTTCTTTGGTCCAAGCTTTCCATGTAAACTTCAATACATCTGTTTCTCATTGCACGCGACAATTCCCCATACTTTGGATCCACTGTCAAAAAGAGTCTAAAATTCGGATGTGGCTTTAATACTCTAGGTGATCCGTCAGGAGCACTGCATTCGTTGATGATCAACGAACCATTCGTTTCCAACAAAGAGTTAAGTCTGTCAAGCACAGAAGCATTGCACAAGTTGGCATTGTCTAGGACAAGCCAGTCTCCTCTCATCACAGATTGGACTAACAATCCATCAAACCATTTGAATTTAACTGTTGCGGTCTCTTTGAGACGTTTAGCCAAATCTAATGCTTCTTCAAGAATTTTAGTCAACTTATCATTCGAGTATAGAGAAAGGAAACCTTTGAAATGGCTGACAAAAGTATCGAAGTTTTCAGCAGCAACAGCTGTGGTTTCCAAAAACTGCAACAAACTTAACGATCTCGAAAGCAACAATGGTTCAGCTGTACTAACCTGCAAGTTCAAAACCACCAACTCGTCTAAAATCTCATACACCGAAGATGTGATTTCTGTGATGGCTCGAGTAAGATCAACCTGTTCATAACCACCCAAGATGTCCATGCTGTCAACATCACTGTTCATAGCAAACTCGCATAATTTTACTCCCACCACATTGGCTAGGAATCTCACAAGCTCGGTTTTTCCAGACTTTGTAGGACCTGTTAATATCAAAGGAATATTTTCGTTAACACTTCTTATAGCAGACTCAATCACTTGGAAATTAGATTGCAAAGGAATAAAATTGATTCGGTCAACAGAATTAGAGTTTTGAATGGTATCTCTTCTTTTGATAAGAGCTCCACCTGCTTGAACATAGTCGGGACCCAAGGCGTAAAAAGGATCTTTTGACTCTTGTTTACCGAAAATAGAATTGAAGATCTCGATAACGTGAGCTCGATCCTCGGGTGCTCTAAATCTCTGGCAAACAATCATATTTAAGAAATCACCGAGAGTTAAGCCTTCCTTAATGAAGTTATGCTTAGAGTTGTACAAGCTTAGCCATCTTAAAGTGTCACGCAAATTGAATTCCCATGGACCACCCGACGTGCCCCAAGTCTTTTTGATTACAACTTCTTCCTCCAATTTAGACATGAAAGCAATCATCTTTGAACAATCCTCAGACGGAATGTTGGGGAATATTTGGTGAGAAATCAATACCAAGTCTTCTGACTTCAATGTATCCACGTATACCACCGTGAAACGGTTAACAAAAGATTTGGGTAAACCTTTTCTCCCTCCTCCCTGATATTGTGGGTTTTGGGCCGCGAAGACTTTGAAATCGGGGTGACGAGGAAAGGACCTGTCTAATTCAGGGATATAAGCTTCTCCTCTATGATCCAAACAAGCATTTAAACCCTCCAAAACAGACTGAGAGGCTAAGTTCATCTCATCAAGCAAAACCCATTCACCGTTCTTCATCGCACGAAGAAATGGCGCATCTCTCCAAACAAATTCACCAGTTTGGCCACCTTCAACAGGAGCATCCGATCCAAATAAATCAATTAAGTCTGTCTGTTCAGACAAGTTGATACGAATCAATGGATTACCTGTCGCCTTCGCAATTGCAGAAATCAAACTTGTTTTACCAACACCTGGACTTCCTTCCAACAAGATTGGTTTGTGGACTTGCATAGCTCTAATTACTCTCATAGCATTTGCCGAAGTTGTTGGAGCGTGCAAGTTGAATGGATCGTCCCACTTTTCATTTGGCAAACGTGGAATTGAGAATAAGCCTGCTTTTAATGCTTGGATATTAAGTTCAACTTGACACAGTTTAGACTCTAAATATTTGTCCAAGTTTGAACCAATGATGCCACTCAACTCGTTCACACATTCTTTCTTGTATTGAGCGAGCTTTTCTTCATTCTCTGCGAGATATGCTGTATTATTTGTCCCTAAAGCATCGATGAAAACCATAGAAGCACCGTGAATAAGTGCAGCTTCAGGAACAATAGCATTGTCACACGAGTTGATAAACTCGACCCATGCCAATATATCACGAAGCGAAATAACTCCACTGTTTGCATTCCCGTTTCCGAGGCGCTTTCCAAACCAGTAAGAGAAAGACACCAAAGGTTCACAGAGACTAGAAAATTGTGGTGACAATCTAGAAGAAACAATAAGCTTCACGTCATTGAAATCGTCCATTGAAGGAACCCAAATTTCAGTAAATCTGTTTCTTAATGCAGGGGATAACTCTTTCTTACCGTAATCACCACCTGGATTCATCGTGGCAAGAAACTGGAAGGTGTCTTTCGCAGTAAGGAAAGCATCTTCGGTTCCTTTTTCTGCCAACAACAAGCTTCTTTCTGGTTCCAAAACGGAGTTTAATCTCTCCAATACAGAATCGTCAGCTAAAGAGATTTCATCGAGCAAAAAGAAATCGCCCAGTTTCATAGCCTGAATTAAGGGGCCATCCATCCATTCGAATAATGCGGAAGAATTCTTAATCTTTTCGTCAATAAGCGCCACATCTTCTTTGCCAATGTCGTTACTCTCATCCTCAAGAACTTTCGTCTTGACCTGTTTGTACTTTTTCACCAAATCTTCAGTGTTTGCGTTCTCAATTGCAATTTCAATGTTGGCAGAAGTAAAGAAGGCAACTAAACTCTTAAGAAGCTCAGCTCTAACCTCAAATCGGTTACGAAGTGGTCTCTGTGCACCCAAAATATCACCTGTTTCAGTATTCTGATGAGCGTTGACAGTAATTAATTTTCTTCCCATCAATTGAGCCAAAACTTGGCAGACAGTAGTCTTACCGCAGCCTGTTTCACCAACTAATAAAAGAGGTTCTTTGTTTTTGATAGAAGTTTCAACCAATACCGCTAATCTTCTCATTGCTTTAGTCCAAACAATGGACAGCTCGAGCAGCATAAGATCTTTGTTTTCCAATTTTTCGTAATATGAGTCCATGTCGAGTTTTACTCTCATCACTTTTTCAATTGCTTCTTTCACGACTTGTTTCTCTTCATCATTTCTGACTCTTTCCGCCAATAGCATATATCCGTTGGCAGCAAGTTCTTCGTATCCGACAGCCTCACGTAAGGCCCATCTAAACAAATCTCTCAAAGTAGCGAATGAGTTTTTCTGTTCAAAAAGACGGGATGACTGACGGCGAATAGACAATTGCTTGTAAACTTCGACAATTTTCTTACTGTAAGAGGGAGCAATTTGGCATCGCTCTTTCAAAATAATCTCCAACTCATCCTGAGGAATATCATCGAAGTGTAATTCCAAGAATCTATTTCTGAAAGCCCTGGAAAGTACCTTTCTACCACCGTACAATCCTGGTGGATTCTGGGTGGCAAACAACATAAAGTCTGGATGGGGATGAATCACCTCTTGTGTCTCTGGAATGAACAACTCTCTATTGTCATCGAGCAAACGGTTTAAGGCTTCTAAGACATCAGTAGGAGCAAGATTCAATTCATCCAAGACAATCCAATGACCTTTTCTCAAAGCTTCAACCAAGACACCCTCTCTGAACACTAATTTACCGCTTGAATCAGAGACATAAGTTCCCAAGTACTCTTGCAAATCAGTATGTTCGTGGTTATTGATACGAACAAACTTGTGACCTGTAATACTTGCCAAATAGCTGATCATGGAAGTCTTACCAGCTGATGTAGGACCCTGGACCAAAACAGGGAATTTTCTGCTTGCTGTTGCTCTGACCAAGTTGAGCAAGTTTTTTTCAACAAATGGTGTAATGATATAATTTGGTGATCCTATTTCTCCTGGTCCTCTTTTCATCCAATAATGTTTGAATTGAACATACTCGTCAGGGTTTGAGGACGGCGCAGGCGGACATCTAGAGACGATTTGCTTCGCATTCTTAAGCTTGCCGATGGTGTATTTCTCAATTATTGGCTTCAATAGTTTCTCAGAATCAATATCAAGCAAAGTCAAAAAGGCCATGCAAAATCCCTCGTAAAGAGCTCTTCTCAAGCCGTAGATCCCAACGATATCACGCACGTAAATCAAAGTTCTGGTTAAAGTACGAATACTGAAATGGGGCTTTTGATTGGCACCATCCACAATCTTGTTAGCTTCCGCCAAATTCTTGGCTTCCATGTACAACTCTGCAATATCATTCCCAGCCCATTCGTCTCCCACAGAGTATCTAGCAATGTATTTGTCGATGATTGAAAGTAAATCTTCTCTGTCTCTGTCTGGAGAATGAACATAAATCTCTGTAAATCTGGAGCGAATACTCAATGGCAAATCCTTCTTTCCAACGTCTGTGGAAGGATTCATACAGCCAAAAATTCTGAACTCAGGGTGTGCTTTGACGGCTTCAGTGTCACCTCTCTCACTGAGAAGGACAGACCTTTGATCCAAGTTTTCGGAAAGCAAATCAGCTATACTTTCAAGAGTATCGGGAGATGCTAAATTGATTTCATCAAGAAGCAACCACTCACCGTTTCTAACAGCCTTAACAAGGGAGCCTTCAACGAAACTGAAAACGAATGAGCTCTCAAGATTTGCAGCTTGTGTCTCGAAGCTTTCAATGCTTTCCTTGAACTCGAGCCACTTTTGAAGTAGGACAGACTTCTCGCTCGACCTGAGTTTTCTCTTTTTCTTCGGGCCACCTTCTTCTTTTGTGTCTTCATCTGAATCCTCCACTTTAGACAAAAATTCTCTCGCCATTTTGATGGCTTCATTCCAAAGTTTTATTACATTTTTCCACTGGTTCTTGTTGAAACATTTTGTCAAGAGAGCAGAGAATTTCGCATTCTTCTTTTGAGAGAATGTAGCCAAAAAAAGACTTTCTAACACTTCTTGAAGAGGAATCGCTACTGTTTTGGTGTTGACAGGCTTGTATCCACCCAACAAATCTCCTGATTCTGTCTGCTGGGAAACATTTATGACGGTCAACTTCTTGTTCATCATCTTCGCAATTTCTTGCACAACGGTAGTTTTACCTGTACCAGTTTCACCCACGAGAAGGACGGAATCCACCATCTCCACAGCAACACCAATTTGTTCCATTAAGCGTTTGGAATGCTTGGTTCTAGCAAAATCGGTATTAGTTCCGGTCTTCTTCTTCACGTAAAGTGCCTTGTCAGCGACGGATTTTTTGAGAACAGCTCTTCCTATTTCAATCTTCTCGTCATCAATGTGCAAATTTGGAACATAAGTATCAAGGAATAGGTTGATTCGAGATGATGGCACTTCCAAAATCTCTCCAATAGCGTTCACTAAAGGAATAAGCGCATTATGTTCGGTTATGGCACTGCCGAAACACTCAACTGCTTCTGCAAAAATATTCTCATAAATGGAAGATTCTAAGAGTTGTTCAGAGGAAGTCACGCCCCTGTTTTGTAACATGCAGCTGCATCTGGAGCAGAATTTCATTAAATCTCTTGTTGAGATCACTCTGGGATGAGAACCTTTGTTCAAAGAAATGAACGAGGGCATAGAATAAATGTGAAGTACTTTGTTGTAAACAGTAATGAATTTGACAATTAGGTTCTTTAAAAGAGGGAATTTTGTGGCGAGGATGCTTCTAAGTTCCATTTCTGAGGGAACCTTAACTTCAACAAGTTCCCAAAGCCTAGATCCAATCATATCAGGAACCCTAGATTCGTCCTGCGTCCTCACCGTGGAAATCAATTGGAAACCGCTGTGGGCCTTGATGACCTCTCCTCTGGATGGAATACTCAACTCCCTTTTTTCTAGCAAAGTAAGGAGAATCGATAAGACTTCTGTAGGTGCTTTATCTATATCCTCGACTAACACCCACTTTCCTTCCTTAACTGCAGTTGTTAAGACACCAGATCTCCAAAGAAAAGAACCCGGTTTGTCGCCAGATGTGTAAGTACCCAAAAGCAATTTAGCATCGGTTTGTTCACCCAAGTGAATCTTCACTATGGAATCATGATAGCCCAAATTCTTGGCCAATTGGCTAATGAGGAACGTTTTACCGGAGCCCGCTTTACCATACAACATAACTGGTTTGTGGTTCTGAATCATTTTCGCCAATGTTCGCAAAACATGAACTGAGTTTTCAGTCTCAACGCAGTCTGAATTATCTTGAACCAAGCTATCGCTCCTTCGAGTAATAAGCACACCACAAACAGAGACAATATGGGGAGAAAGATCAGTCAGGTTGATTTTGTAAGCGAGTGATTCCTTGCAAGACACAGAAGTAGGTAAAGATGTGAAATTGGATAGTCTTTTAGCCTCAACTAAAGATATGAAGCGATAATCAATGGTATAATTTGCGTCATAAGTACCCAAGAGCGGTCCTTCCTTGATGTATGTATTCATCATTTCAGTTTTAGCTTGTTCAGAAGCTTCCAAATAACTACTCAAGATGGAGACGCATAAAAACTTGGCAATTGAATAATCTTCAGAAAGTGTCAATATGTGATGAAGAGTCTGTGGGCGAATGTAGGCTTTAAATTTGTGAGGTTTCCCACTGTAAATTCTGAAGATGGCCAAAAGTGCGAGATGCAATTCAGTTGGCGCAACGTTCTTCGATAATGCTCTGTCGATTTGGTCAAACAATGCAAGCTGATCCACATATTTTTCAACCAAGCTGTCGCTTTCGGGAAACAATTCAGTCATTCGAGATAAAGCCAATAAAATGGTGGAGCCTGGAAATTGTGGGGAATGTTTCTGTCCATGAAGCTGAACATAGCCCGATTCAAACGTATCTGGGTTCTCGATCCAGCGGGCTACCAAGTCAAGGAATATAGGCTTGTATGCATAAAGGACAGGTATAGTGGCATCATGGTGTAATGCAAAAAGAGCCAAATTGTTCAAGTTCTCAGAAATGGATTTTTTGGTCTCGAACTGGAAAGCTGAAGGCACTTTCTTTTGTGGGAATTTTTCAGCAAATGCTTTATAGCGCTGATTTGCTTCCGCAACATTGATAGTTATGGAATGGTTCATGTTGTGGAAGATTCCCCTAAAGTCAATGATCAACTAGTAGTTTACACTGGAAAAAAACGCGAGCGATGAGCATCGAAATTGGGTTCGCACATAGGCCAAAAAGGTGAATTGCACACAATAAAGCCAGCAATGGAGAAAAAAATATTTCAGATAAAACGCTATAACTATTAGTTTCGTATCGGGTTAGACTACTGGTGATCACTATACACTTTCTGTTTTTATTCTACTTTTGTTTCCTTTTGTATTTGTTTATTGCATTTTCAGTTCGAGGAACTAGTACATTTTTCTATACTTGCGCACTTACCATTTGTGTAATGGGTGCGAAATTCACAAACTAGAATGTTTCTTTTCAAATTCTGCTTAATCAGTTTTGTTGCTCTTGTGACGGCCCATTCTCTGGGTGAAAATGTTGTTTCGAACGTAGTTGTAAGCTTCTCTCAAAACGGAAACGAAACGGTTCAACCTCATTGTGTCAACACTAGATTTGTTGTGAAAAACAGGCAAGATCTTTACTCCATCTTGGATTGCAAAGTATTAAAAGGAAACTTGGAGATCATAGATTATGAGGATCCAATTCTTACATTTCCACACTTGAATTATCTTGATGGCAGTCTTCTTATCAGGCAATCGCCTCACTTAATTCGTATCGAGGCCCAAGAGCTCTCGAGAATCACTGGAGGTTTTTCTATGGAAAAGCTTACTTCTTTGGCAATGGTTGTTATGCCTGCTCTTACCTCAGTGAAGTTTTTGGAATGGAGAGTGCTCCCAATCTTTGGCAATCTTAAGCTTGGAGAGTTAACGGGAGTTGAAAGCGTCATAATTTCAGACACCTCTTTGGCAAAATTAACAGTGAGCTCAGCAGATGTAATGAGGAATTTGGATCTCAACAACAACCGCTTCCTTGAATTCATCAAGTTTGATGTAAAGCACATAAACGATCTTCTCCATATAGGGGCTAACGGGAGAAATGCAATTGTGGATCTAGATTTGTTACAATCTGCGCACAACATGAGTATTCATAATGTGGCAGATATTAAAATCAGCAACTTGGAGTTAATAAAAGGCTCTGCTAGTATCATTAACAACAGCTTTCATCTGATCAATTTTACCAACTTGGAAAATGTCGAAGGTACGCTTAGCATTGCCCAAAACGACCAGTTAGCTCTTGCCAACTTTCCTTCTGTTTCAGAAATTGGAGGTGGCTTACTGATTGTGAACAATACATTTTTGCAGTCTATCCTGTTTTTCCCAAAGCTCAATGTCATTGGTGGAGCTTTGGATTTGGTTGGCAATATTCGGTATGCTTCTTGGGACAAACTAAAGTTGGTCAAAGGTAGCGCCCGTTTAACGACAACGGTGCCTACTTTTGATTGCAAAAAATGGGCCCAGCGGGACGTTGGTACTATTATTCGGGGAGGGAAGATAGAATGTTTTATTTCACTACCTCTGTCTAAGGATGAAGGAAATGTGCTTTCCCAGCCACCGAAGGTGGCACTTCACTCAGGCTCCAATTTGTTGAGTATCAATGTCGGATGGATCGTTGTTGCAGTCCTTTCAGCTTTCATAGGTAATTAGCAAAGTACATGAACACGCCAGCAATAAAAAGAGAAGACGAAGATAATGACAGGAACGCATTGTAAAAAAAACTCTACATTCAAGCAAGCATAGGATGATACTGATTTAAACAAACTATAGCAACTTTTCCTGTCTCCCAATCAGCAGTTATGGTACTTATATTCTCAGAATCATTTGTACAAGCTGTGTTTCTCGATGAATGCCTTAATCTCTGGGATCACAGGCACATTTGCCGATTCACCTGAAGCAAACGCATTTCTTACACTGGTAGAGCTGATTGCTCCTATGTTATCACGGGAATCAGACACGCTTTGAACATGTACGTTTCGTGCAAGAGCTTCGGGAATCTGAGGAATCTTTCCATGGCGGAGTCGTTGCAAGTAGTCAAGTTGCATATTGTATGTCTCAACATTTTCAGATCGGGTTAAGCAGAACAAGTCTGTCGTTCTCATGAACTCTTTAAGCAGGTCCAGCAATTTATCTGGTAAGTAGTATTTGGGGTCCAAGATACGTTCTAACGTATCAAATCCGACTGCAAACGTCAACTTGATTGAGCCGTAGTCCTCAGCTAAGTACAGTTTCAAATAATTGATGATTGCTACCGACTTGTCGACAAAACGGGCATGGTTTGTGATTCCAATGCTCACATGGATGTCCAAACTAGACTCGAGATACTGGGCCATCAAGTACATCATCTCAAGCCTGTAATCCAAAGGAGCAGGCTGGATAGTGATTTTATCTGCATTTTTCACTGATAATAGAAGAAGAAGCAGCAGCTTCAGTTTTGGAGTGGTGGTACCATTGTATTCGAATTCCAATGCATCTTTTGCAAGAGTAGAGTGTGCCAAGTGGGGTGGATTGAAGGACGAGTCAAGAATGACAATTCTAGAAGTATCAGCAGACGCCAAAGGTGAAGAAGGGGACGTGCTGTAAAGTATACGAAAGTCGGCTTTGGAAGCAAGGAACTCCTGTAACGGCTTTGTGAATTTAAGCATGTGTATTATTCTTTTTTTGTTTAGTTGCTACAGAATCAAAAAGTGGAGTTATACTTATTGTCCCTCGTGACGCTCATACAGGAAGATTAGAGTTCTTCCTTATATGGAGCCTGCACATCCATCAACTCCACGTCGAAAACTGAATGTTAGTAAAAAATCGTTAACAAAAATCACATTTGTACATACTAAGCTCTGAGTTGGCTGGGATTGGTCCGACGTTCCTGTTTCCGTAGCCCAAGCTAGGAGGAATGGTCAATTTTCTTTTTTCTCCAACGCACATATTGTGAATTCCCTGTTCCCATCCTTGGATCACCTGTCCGCTTCCTAAAGTAAAAGATATGGGAGATCCTCGGTTGTAAGAAGAGTCGAATTGTGTTCCATCGGTCAAGTACCCCAGATAATGCACCGAAACGGTGTTGCCGTTCTTGGCCTTGACTTTACAGTCTGACACTTTTTCTAAAACATCTTTTGGTTAGCACATAAATTCGGTAGCTTATTTTCAATTACATACCAATTTTGACATTTGCAGCAAAAGCAGCCAGAACAAGAAAGCATAAAAGGGTACTAATTTGAATAACTTTCAACATAGTAGTTACGAACTGAGACAACACATTAAAGAACAGATATCGCAGTTCTACGCACGTGATTTCGTCTAACGTGCACCCTCTTTTTGATTTCTCTTCTTTTATAGACCTTTCTACTTTGACTTTCCGCCCTCTTTTTGATTTCTCTTCTTTTATAGACCTTTCTACTTTGACTTTCCGTTATCGTACTTCTATTATACAAGCTATATAGCCTCAAAGGAATCTTCTATGCTTCTTGCAATCCCTAGATTTTATAAAAAAATATTTCAAAACCCTAATGTAAAACCCAAATTCAACTAATAAAACAATGGAAAAAGCTGTCATGAATGAGCACCCAGCAGGAGGATGCTCTCGTATCTTCGTCAAGTTATTTTTTTCTTTTTTTCTTTTTTCCTTTTTTTGATCGTACGTTTAGTTGGCGAAAAAACGGCCAGCCTCTAACTCGTCAATAGTCGACTCAATGACTTCATCTTCGTCGTCATCTTCGACGAGTTCGATTGTAGCGTACTTGATCATATCCCAACGCTTCCAAAAAGCAGAAGCGTCATTAAAGTCGTCTGAATCAACTAGGTCCTGCAAAAAATACTTAGCCTTGATTAAACGATCTTTCAATGCTTGCAACTGACAAGAAGAAGGGTCGGTGTCAGTCGATGATGCATCGGATGTCATCAGACGAACAGAGTTTGTACGCATGAGAGAGGGTTTCCTTCTATAAGAAGGCTTATCATTCTTCTCAAAGTCGCTTTCATAATCTGTCAAATCTGTGGTGTTACCTAAGTCATCCTCATCATCAGTTGCGACAGAGCGAGGTGTGTTGTATCCATATGTCTCGTCCTCAACATATGAAGCTGCATCACAATATCTAGCCCATGCCTCATCAATAGCGCCGACAAGATAATCAAAACACCTGGCTCTGCTATTCTTGTCTTCGTCAGGCATACTCTTTCTGATGGATGCGCTAGATGTGTTGCTATCCGAAATTTGTAAAAAGCTTCCCTTTGAACCATGGCGGCTTGGCATTTGAAAACCATTACTGATTCCACTCAATGTCGCACATGGTGAGCTCAAAAGCTTGCAGTCAAGATTATCGTCAGCATTGCGGCACGCAGCAGTACGGTCACGAGCTTCAAAAGCATCTTCGTCGTCACTATATTGCGAAACGGCTTTAGATAATTCACTGTTCAAAGAAAAAGAGACTCTGGAAGAAGCTCTTCTCTTTGCTTTGATTTGGTCAGCTCTATAACAAGATTGCTGGTCATCAGAGTCATTGTCAGAGTCCGAGGATGATGAGTAGCAAACTTCACCAGTAAGCTTCTCAAAGCAAACCTTGGGGAAACGTTTGGATGCAGAAGAGTTCAAGTCGAGTCCTGACAAGCAGGCTCTCTTTGGCTTTGCTCCATGTTGCTGGGAATTGAAGTCACATGACCTCTTCGCCGATGTTGTAAATGCTTGAGAGCACAAAGCCATATTGAAATGTGCAGGTTCACTTAAAGGTGAGGTTGGAGTACCTGTATACGAAGAATGGCACTAGCGCGAACAAACAAACGTTTGGATGAGTTGTGCCAGGAGTGCGTAGAAAGGTAAAAAGTCTGAGCGAACCAATCAAGGAGTCAGAAACGAGTTTACCAACAGAAGGAGGGGCTCAGCAAAAAAAGAACCCTCAAACAAATCTGTCAAAGAAAGTAGCGAGCTAAAAACTTGTAGACAGCCGCTTTGAAAAAAGAACAAAAATAAGTTCCTGTAAAAGCACTAAGAGAAACTTGTCACCGAAAAAGTTCGTCCAAGGGAGTGAAAATTTGGTGAAAGGAATGACCTTAAGTGCGAGGAAAGTTTGTGTAGGAAAAACACAAGCAAATAAAAATGGTTTGCGCGGAAGTAAAATAAAAAAAAAAAGTGAACACAGGTGTCTATTTTAATGGCTGCCCCAACTGCGGAAAAAAGCACGACACGCAGGAGAATGCGGGCGTCCTAACATGTGATTGGTCACAGTGACATTTTTCAGTGCGGGTAATCATGTAGTGTGTATAGAGTATCTAATATGCACATCTGTCTCTTTTAGGAGTAAAGGAGGTTCTATCCTTTTCCAATGTGAAAATCTAAAGCATATTGCAGACGTCGAGCTGGCCACAAAAAAATTTTGTCCTTCTCTATCACAATGGTGTACGAACAATACACTCGCTTTGGAAAGTATTGTTTTGTTCACGTTTGGGTACTTTTTTTTTTTTGTTATCACCCATCCCCTATTGTGCCGCAGAACTAAATGTCGCGAGATTCTGGCCAGGATAGCAATGTCTTCCCTTTTGGGAAGGACTTGGCTCAGGACGAAAATGCGACGTGGCCAAAATTGCCTCAACAAAGGATCTTTCATGTACCGAACACTTCTAAAATAACCTGTCCTGCCCCCTATACTGTATAGTTGCAAAATCACTATCTGCGTCCTCAAGTCTTCACCCAAGCAATTGCTCTATTCCATCTCATGAGCGAATTGTTGCGCAACCTCCAATAAAGAAGGCGGACGTCCAGCGTCTGAAATCTTATTGTTGCGTGAGTTGCTCTCTCCTCTTCTCATTTCTTCGCTTGCCTTTGGCGAAGACGTATCGTCGCCTGGTTGGATCCCCTTGCTTCGTTCGCTTAAGGCGCTTTTCGCATCTGAATCCAGTAGTTTCCCCTCCACCATTTCTAACGTCTTGATCATGCGGGTCATTAATCTATCAAGGTTTTTGCTGTTGAACAACAAAAGCTCGTCAGTCTTGAATTTTGCATATAAGGACTTGGTGGCTGGAATGAAATATCTGATAGCGATAAACGCAAGTCGCACTGACAAAATGGATAGTAGTTCAATCTTGGCGAGCAAGGTATCTGGGTCTTCTGGGCGATGAAGATGTGATAATTGCAGCACGTCCTTTTGCTCCAGAATTCCAAGATCTACATACAAATTCCGTAGGAGCTCCACTTTGGTTCTATAGTCCATCAGATCCAACATTTGCTCCAATCGTATCTGCCTCTCTCTCGTGGCCAGATCAAAAGAATCTTCTGTTGCACCCATTTTAAATGGCCAAGCATGTTTTACTGCTCTGAGCAATGCTCCTGGCATTGTCGATGTAGGATCACTGCTCAAGGCGCATTTAGTTAAATCCATCACAAGGCTTTTCCAATGAGCTTCTTCTTCAAATTTGTTTTGCTGTTCTAGAACCACATCCAAATTCTTGTTGATGAGCTCATCGAACTTGGAATTCTGGTCTTCCAAGTACTTTTGCATCACAATGTCGCTCTCTGTTTTCTCCGACAAGATTGAGCGACGCAAAGGCACAGGCAGATTGGACGTGTCATTTTCAGCCAATGTGAGCGACCCAGAATCGTACACGCTTCTCTCTGAGCGTTGCGATCTTCTGTCAAGTAAGCGATTGTGGATCTTTTCGCGTGGGCTAAGCGGTTCAGGGAGTTTTTCAGGTGTCTGCGGTTGTTCTTCCTCTGCTGGCTTTTCCTCTTTCAAAATGTTAATGATCGGACTGGGGATACGGTCAGAATACGGCAAAAAGGACACCGCCGCATATATAGTCGAGCGGATTACCATGGAGAATATATTGCGGAGCAGGCAGTTCTGATGTTAGAAGAAACCAATGTGGCTTAGAAGGAAATACATTTGAGACATTCGAGTGGGTGAGGTTATGTACAGTGGAGCTTCATGCACATGATTAACGATCATGCACAGCAATCTTAATTGGCGTCGCAATGTCGCACTTATAATTCGCAGCTATCCGTTGGGAAATTTCAAGATAGCAATTACAATGGCTTCTATCTTATACAAGTGGGTCATTAACCGGTTTTTGAAAGATAACCAGCTTACAAAGTTTGGGGTGGAGGATCCATACTATGAATACCTTCCTGTGGATGCTTCAAAAGGTAAGACCACAAAGTACAAGAAGGTTGCCCGAACTATACCTCGAGGCTTGCTTCAACACGACATTCAGATTTTGCTGAGTGTGAAAAGCCAGGCGTACAGATGTGACATGTGGTTTAACGCTTTGGGCTTGCGTTTTGGCTTATCGAGTATAGTGGGACTCGTTCCGATCCTTGGTTCAATCGTGACAACCTTCTGGTCTTTGAAGATCTTATACACTGCACGCCAAATTACTGACGGGCTTCCTCTTGACATCCAGCTTATTTTTCTCTTCAACATTGTCGTGGATTTTTTACTTTCTCTTATTCCTTTCGTGGGAGACATTGTTGAAGTAGGATACAAGGCCAACCTGAGAAACTTTTTATTGCTCGAAAAGCATTTGGAACGCGTGGGCAAGAAGAACATGGGGCTTATTCTGGACGACGAGGTGAGACCAGGTTTCATAAACGACCAAGTCCAGCCATTTTTGGATAAGAAGGTCAAGCCGCAAGCTTTGAAGGCCGGGGCCCACGTGAAACAGCTTGTGAATCGGCAAATCCACTCTTCTCCATCCTCACTGGGAAGCAATGGTTCAGGAATAACTTCAGAAGCTACAACCCAAAGCACTATTGCTACCATTACAGGACTCTTGGACAAACTTGATGATGACAATAGCAGTATTAAAAGTTTGCACGAAACTAAGAAGCGGGCTCTGGAAAGTGACGAAGACTAAATAGTACAGATAATGCACATAGAAAATGCATTTAGATCGAAGTATATTGTGAATTGGCACGGGATTCTCACTTGGTGAGGCTGACTATTTTTGTTTCCATCATTAGATGGCGAGTGCAAATATGACCGTGTAAAGATATTTAACTGTTGTCTTTGTTTATATTTTCAATCTATGCTTCATTTTGCATTTTTTTTTTTTTTGACAACGTAATTTGGAAGTTCAAGATGAAATCTCATTTTATAATTATTGTAGCTTTCAGCGCAAAATTTTCAAAATTTGAAAGTGCCCCAAAAAATACTTTTCGAGCCAGAATACACAAATTGAGGCCACGAGTAGAATTATGAATAGTACCAAACCCGAGTACCATTCTATCTATATAGATCAATCACAGATTACTAGGTCATGAGTTTTTTCACAGAGTCGCGCCAAGCCTCTGCCTCTTGATCTGAGGCAAAGCGCACATTTTCATATAAATAGATATGTCAGATTTTCAAGGTTCGGCAGACATGCAAGACGGACATAGAAAAACGCTGCAATTGCCAGACATTGAAGACAAAGCCGTGAAAGAAGAACAGGAATTGACGTATCCCCAACAACCAGAGGAGAATCAATTAATGGAACTGGAATCTCAACTAGATCAACAAGGTCAGTTAGACCAACAAAGTTCAGCAGGCTTACAGTTGCCAGAAAACGAAAAGTCAGAACAGCAACTGAAATTAGATACAATCTCCCAACACAATGTTGGACAAGACACACAAGATTTGCAAGAGGAGGAGAATGCTCAAAAGCAAGATGAACAAGAGCACAATGATCAGCAACCACCTGCCGCATCGCAGTTAGATGCACAAGAGGAGGAGAGTAACCCTATACTAGCAGAGTTTATGTCAGCATGTCAGGAGGGACACTTGGACCGTGTCAAAGAACTCATCTCCTCTGGACAAGTCCAAGCTAGTGACACGTTCAGCCTGAGAGTAACTGGCTTGCACTGGGCCGCCATCAACAACCGCCTTTCTGTGGTGAAGTATTTGGTTGAGAATGATCATTCGAAAGCGGACCCAAATGCTCGTGGCGGAAATCTCGATGCTACACCATTGCACTGGGCATGCCGGAACGGATTGGTCTACGTGGTGGATTATCTTCTTTCTTCTACAGACGCAGATCCCACACTCAAGGACTCGCAGAATTATAACGCTCTTCATTTAGCTGTGCATAGCTCCAACATCACGCTAGTTGTGTATGTGATTTTGGTATGCGTGTTCAACAGACCCAAAAAAATCTATATCGACGAGCCGGACAGCATCCAGTGCACACCTTTGCACTGGGCTGCGTACCAGGGTGATATCCTTTCGGTTAATGCATTGCTCCGGTACGGTGCTGATGTCAATAAATGCGACAAGTCTCAAATGACTCCCCTTCATTGGGCATTCATTCGAGGCTACAAGTCAGTATTGGCTGCGCTATTAGATGCGGGTGCTGATATTCACGTCAAAAACGACAAAGGGAAAGACTCTTTTGGTGTGGCACGCGATATGAACTGCGAATCGACTTGGCTTCAGGTTCTCCGTGAAGCAGACCGAGACCCAAAGAACAATTGGGAGCCGAGAAAACACGTTATTTCAGCAAAAACAGGCAAGTTGGTGACATTTTTCACGCCGTATTATGTTCTTCCTGTTGCATTGAACTTGTGTTCATTCAGCAGCGGTGGTGCTCCAGCCAAGTTTGTGTCTGTGACTGTCTTTGTGATAATCTCGGGAATAGCACTTCTGAAACTTGTCGTTCCCATGTACATGCCACAGGAACGACTGATGTTCAAAACGCCAATCATGGCTGGTCTATTTTCAGCTACAGCTTTCTGGTGCGTTGCTGCCTGGCTTTTCTCAATTTTACCCATGGTGTGGAAGTCGCAGTTTCTCTCTTCCGTGGTTCTCTTGTTGTCTATTGCTGTTTTCAGTTATTGTTTCTTCAAAGCCATGTTTATCAACCCAGGATACGTGCCTATTCCATCTGATTCTTCTGCGGTCCTAGAGCAAGTTAAGGATCTTCTTCGTATTGGAAAATTCGATACCGAGAATTTCTGTGTCAATACATTTATTCGCAAACCATTGCGCTCCAAATTCTCCAAAGTCAGTAACCGTTTGATTGCACGTTTCGACCATTACTGTCCATGGGTTTACAATGACATTGGGGTACGCAACCACAAACTTTTCGTCACATATGTATATTCGTTGGTACTTGCGATTATTCTATTTTCTCTTCTGGCCATGAAGTACTTCGAAAAATACGCAGAGCTGCTAGGCTACGAAAGTGAAGATGAGGGCTCCTCCTGTGGCATCCTTTCGGATGAATTGTGTATGGGATACAAGCATAACCATTTTGTGTTTGCATTGCTCATGTGGGCTTTGTTTCAATTAATTTGGCTTGGATTTCTTGCCATTGTACAAACATTTCAAATCATGAAGGGTCTCACCACCTGGGAATTCAACTCCATTAACAACACGATCTCCAATCCTACGCTTAACCACTCAACTGTTCCTAGAGATTTCGATGGCCCTATTCCAACTGCGGGCGTCACAAATGGTGGTCGCCATAACCACAGGAACGGCTTTAGCACATTGCTTAAATTGTTCGGCTTGGATCAATTCATTATAGCAATTAAAATGGCTATTCTATCCCTTTTTAATCGCACTACTCATAGCCAGAACTACACTACGCTTGACAATCTTGATATACCGACCGAC